GCTTAATCTGTCCTTTGTGGCAATGAATCAGAGTAGCTGTTGGCACCCAGGAGGGAACTAACAGCCATTTTTGAAATGGCAAGCCTCTTAACAACAAAAAATCAATCCGTAAACCAATCTGCAGTGTCCAGACACAAAGGATATTTTTAACATATTATTGAACATATTTTCCAAAGCAAATTTGTTTATTTTTAAATCAGTGATGGTGAAGATTCTTTTAACTGTAGGAGGGATGGAGGTAAATAAAAATAATATGTGAATAATCCTTTTGTTTCTCAGAAGCCAATCTCATGCAAACAAGAGGTGGAGACATACCCCCTTTTCCTCACTGTCCCCTGCAAGTGGAATTTGGAAGCATATTGCCAGAGCCCTTCATACATGTGGACAGCCAAGTTAAAAGCGATGACCAGAACTTGTACTGATTCCAAAATTTGTGTGCTATGTGAAGGCATTTTTTTTTCTTTTGTGTGTTCTAAATTTCCCTCTAATCAGTTTTATTGACTGGCCCTTGACCTTAATGCTTTGAGAGGAAGAAAAAGTGTATTTTTGTCCAGTTCCTCTATGTCACATATAGTTTTATACATTTCAACATTTCCCATCTAAGACACATACCAAAGGGTATATGTCAAAAATATCAAGATGGCAACTGTGACCAGGTCATTTTTATATGCATTCTAACATACAAAAACAACAAGATCACAGTCAACATTATGACTTTTGACATTCCTCTTCCCCACTATCAATGTCTTTGACTCAAGTCTCTTTTATTCCCAAACTGGACTCCCAAGGTTTTAACCTTTTCTCTTTGTTGTCCTCTTGTGTATTTTTTAAAGTTTTTTAAAAAGATTTTTCAAATGTGGCATCCAGAAGTGTATGTATGTATGTATGTATGTATGTATGTGGATCTTTGGTTATTTGGGTTTTCTCCCATGTAAGATTGGAAGTATCTAGGCAACGTTTCGATGAAGTCTCATTCATCATCTTCAGGCTTGTGTCTTTGGCTCTGTGCTTCTCACTCTGATATATATATATATATATTCTTAAGTTTTCGTGGGTACTTACATGTATGGTATTCAGCTTTGTTCGGGTATTTTCTCACGTCTTTATAGTTGTGTTTTTAAAGTTGTAGCAACACATCAGGCATTGTGTTCGACTCACAGACGAACACAATACAGAAGCCTGATGATGGCAGATGAGATTCTGCCGAAACGTTGCTACAACTTTAAAAGCACAACTATAATGACGTGGGAAAATACCCGAACAAAGCTGAATACCATATATGTGTGTGTGTGTGTGTGTGTGTGTGTGTGTGTATGTTTGTGTATCGTAGATTTGTGTGATAATATTAAAATGCTATTTTATTTTCAATCACTTTCTTAATAAATCCTAGCATAGAATTTGCCTCTTTCTCAATGGTACACACACAGCTGATATCTTCATTATGCTATTCATTTTGATTTGAGTATATATTTCCTCGTTAAAGATGGCTCAGACTTCATCAGTATGTATGCAATATTAGGGGTATTTTGATTACCCCAATGTGCAACTCTTTCGACTTATTTCAATTCAATTGCTTTTGCCATTTGGCTGATTACTCAGTTTAAAGTATGATGTACTGTACATATTATCTCACTTAATTAGTGATAATAATTATTACTTTTTAGCCCTTAATATCTTAAATCATTCAGTATCATACATAAGGTTAGCCATCTTGCTAATTACCTCTAAGTAAAAGTGTACTGTATATATTTACATAACAAATTCTGGCCTGTTATTTCAAACAGGTGGCAGCACTCAATGAAATTGAATGAGCTTGAAAGTGTCAGAATTATTTAGAACTAGAGTTGGAGAACACCAGGGATTATCAAAGTTGTAGGCTAGACTGGGAAACTTTTGTAAGAGGAGAACATGAATAAAATCCATTGTGTATTGTGTAACTGTGACTCAAACCTCAAACTGCAAGTTGATACTTTTCTACTGTACAAGGGAGAGTTGAAACGTTGAACAATCACACGTTGTGCTCTGAGAAAGTGTGTACGTGTTGGGAAGCATCTAACTTCCTGATGTGCCATATTAGGTGATGAATTGTATACTGAAATTCAATAGGTAGATTGTAAACCAAGCCATCATAGGATGGGGCGGTAGGTTAGGGTATAAAATAGAATGCAAATTTTGCTCTGGGTTCCTCCCATCTGCCAGGGTAGGAACCCATTTCTGCAGAAATGCTACAATAAAACTGTTTTCCTTGGATCAATATCGAATCTTTGGTGGTCTTTCAAGCCCCCACCCCACACTTTCTAAAAATTCCAGAAGTTAATAGCATATCAATCCTGCCTCAATGCTAAGAAAAGTCCATAATATCCATGAAATCACCTGAAATCCTACTTAATTCAAAACAGACTTCCACAGTGTCTTTACTACAAATTGGCAAAATATTATTTTCATTAGCCTGGCTAGTTACTCACAATTAAATTAATCTCTTGTTCAAATGATAGTTATTTAACTTTTTGATAACTGTCCTTGGAGAACATTTCAGCTATTAACAGTTACTGCAGAATGCCAGTTAATAAAAGAAGTGAAGCATTAGCACTAGTGCACTATCAGTAGCCAGGCTCAATTCACGTCACTGATTCAATATATTTATTAAAACAACCTGCTACTGCTTTTAAAACTTGAAAACTTCCCTTTAATATTAAAGAGATTTTTTTAAAAAAATAAAAGTACAAACTAAAAATATAAAGAAAAAAAGAGGGCAGGAGGAAGTCTATCTTATATTTTATACTTCTCAATGATCATTAGTTTACCAATTAAGTCACTATTCTAACATGAACAATACAAATTACAATTTAAAATTACTATTATTATAAGATATCACAGAATCTCTGCCACAGTAACACTATAGTGCACTTTTTGACTTTCCCCAAACAGATAAATCACACTTTTCTGACAACATTCCTTGACGTATAGAATAATATCATTTTCCACTTTCTTAATATAATTCTTTTTACCGCCCCATGCTCAATATAATCACAATTCCTGATAATCAAATTTTAAAACTCTTGTATATCATTACATAACTCCTTTAAAATTTACAGATTTTCCCATAAAACTACTGCTAAACTTTAATATACAATCCTTAAAAATACTACTTGTCCTTATCACATCTATCAGTATACCCTCATTTTTATACCTCCAGCATAGAAAAACATAACCATCCTTTCAAATACATTCTTTGGGGAACCCAGTAAACCTAAATACAATTTTTGATTAATTAAACCTTAACCTACAATCTGTTGTTACCATTTTAATATTTTTAAAAGTGCCAATCTTACAATTCTGGGAGGGAACAACAACGTAAAGATGCACATGTAAAATAACAAATTAGCAAAAGAACAAAAATATGGAGGAGGCCCCTGCACCAATCTGCTGGAATTGAAAGCTCATTGAAAAAGGGTTTCCCCACTCCTTCTAAATCAAAAGGAGGAGGGTACCTTTTGAGCTAGAAATAAGATGCCTTTGTTTGTTTGTTTGTTTGTTTGTTTGTTTGTTATTTATTTATACTTTTTGATATGTTGCATGCTGACAATTTCTGGAAAATGGTTACTTTTTATAGACAATTTTTTAGACTAAAAAGTGAATTTTAAGAACTTGTCCTCTTAAATTCTTATGCAATGAAACAGGTGCACCTGAAAGGATAGTTCGTTATTTTTTATTCAAAGGTTTTTTGTACAAGTAGTTTCAATTTATGACAATTGAGCCCAAAATTTCTGTTGCTGAGACAGTTGTTAAATTAATTTTGCCCCATTTTACGACCTGTCTTGCCACAGTTGTTAAGTGAATCTGGCTTCCCTGTTAACTTTCAGAAGACCGCAAAAGATGATTATATAACCCAGGGTTACTGCAACTGTCAAATATGTGTCAGTTACCAAGCATCTGAATTTTGATCACATGATCATGGGGATGCTACAAGTCAGTAAGTGTGAGAAATAATCAAGTCACTTTTTTCAGTGCCATTGTAACTTCAAATGGTCAGTAAAAGAACTGTTGTCAGTCTAGGACTACTTGTATTAATATTATTGCTCCTTTTATTTGAAAGAGATCCATTTGGGGAGTTTTGTATTGCAAAAATATTGCCAAAATATTATTGGGTACAGTATGCATACAATACGGTATATGTATTAATACAGGGGATAACAGCATTTATTAATCTGCCTTAGGCAGCCAAATATACTACAGCCAGTACATGATATATGCCATTGGAACTCAATTGCTGATATTTTGTGAGTAAACTGGATCTCAGTTTATTCCAACAGAAGTATTTTGACATTAGAATTATAGCCAAGGTTAATTCAAAGTAACCCAAAGCCCGTATTTATTGGAAGTGTGTTTTTTGAATGTCAAAAGCATTGACGGAGTGAATTCAGTTTGAATTTCAGAGAGGTATTCATAACAAAAAAGTTGAAACACAAAACAATGGAAAGTCTTGGGAATCTTAACCTGAGCTTATATATTCACACTTGTGTCATAAAATAAGTGCATCAGGTGGCACAATATGTTTTCAATTGATACAAAGTTGGGCACATGCCTCTTGCACACTAAGAATATTTCTATTAAGTTCCTGTTATCGAATGAAAAGACAATCCAAGCTTCTTAGAACACGAGCGCCCTGTATCTTTCGAACCCAATGAAACATGCGCATTCCTGCAACCTAAGATCGAGGTCTGGGAGTGAGGCAACTAGTATTATGGGGTCAATTTGATTGCCACGAGAAGAGACTGCAATCTCTTCTATTTTATAGCTCTATGCTCTTTCACTCAATTAATACCACATCCGGCTACAATTTGAACAAGTTTTCCAAAGTACGACAGGTTATCATAGAGATGATATGGCCTAGAGGGCCCAGAATGCCGCCGCCCCCCTCTTTTGGGTACTTTTAACCGGAAGTTAAATATACTAATATATTAGCCTCAGATCGATAGAGTTCTTCATGGTTATAAATTGTGGAACACCGGAAGTGGCTGAACGAATGGTCTTTTCTAAGCAGGTTTAATCGGAAACGGAAGGAGCAGGCGGAAGTAGTGGCACGTGGAGAAGAGCTGGGGTAGACAAGTTGTTTGGCTCGGCAGTTATTCCGTTTTTTTGTTTTGTTTTTTAAGGGAGAAAAGGCTCTCCTGTCATCTCCATCGTCCCGGGCTTCTTAAGGTGAGCGGGGTCGCAATAGAAATTTGGAATAGAGCGTGAATCGCGCGCGGGTGAGGAAGAGGAGGGACTCCCATGTCCTTCCTCCCAGGCGGGGATCTCAGTGGGGCAGTCACACCCCAGTGTAATGCCGAGAGGAAAATTTGGAAGAAATTAAGAAATTGCTGGTATTGCAATACAATACAGTTGAGTAAAACACTTTACGTGGTGCTCCTGTTAATAAAGTGCTTTGCCGAAAGCCTCTTAATGGGATTACCTTCTTTAAATGGCTGTAGCAATTGCAATGAAGCAGTCAAAGAAATTTTTCATGTTGTTGCTCGAACATAAAACTGGTAATGCTTTTATTCAGTGTTTTTGCGGAGTAGATTTTTTAGAAATTGTTTTAGAAATATCTGTTCATTATATTTTAGAAGAGAATACAATCAGGTTGTGACCAAGATTTGCTTTTGTTATTCTCTGATAATTCAACAAGTGTGTGTGTGTAAGGATACACACACACATATCCTTAGGCTGGTCTCCCCTTCCCATCCCCAAAAGTGTATAACTACCAGTATAATAATCATGTTTGCCTTTTTGAATTAGAAGATTCTGAAGAGTTATTGTGGATTAATGTATAGTGCTTTTAATTTTTTGGAGAAACTAGGATATGTGAATGTGCTATATCTTATTTTTCAGGTCAGCCTATTGGAAGATGGATATTCGACCAAACCATACACTTTATATCAATAATGTGAATGATAAAATTAAAAAAGAAGGTATGAAATAAATGATTCCTAATTGAATCCTAATGAATTAGGACATATGCCAATTCTTATTCCTTTCTTTCTCAGCCATGAATTGGTCTTTAGCAAATTGTAGTTTGAAAAGAAAATTAATTTCTCCAGGTCACAAATCTACAGTTACTTTAACTTGGAGCATAACTGGACTTAGATTAGGCTGTGATCCTTTTCTCTGAGAATGTATGGGGGAAAAGGCCTGTCATATACTGCAGAGGTCTAATTGCCCTGTGCCCACCTAGATGTTTATGAGAGAGAGATGAATGATATAGGATATATGTTGCCTGTACCACAGCACTTGGTATCCAGAAATGTGCTTCTGCTGACTGAAGAAAATGCTGATTAATCAAGATAATAGTATTTGATACTTTTATGTTTCCAGAACATATGTATAAATAAAAGTTAAGAGATTTCATTAATCTATGCCCTACTTTAAACCATTGTTACCTCTTTCTTAAAAACAAAGGCACATTGTGAATTGCTTTTACTGAGTCAGAAAATCACTGTTTCTGGCCCAGTATTGTAAGGATTATTGATAGGAATTATCTTGGTTTATTTTAAATTCTATGTAAAGATTTCATTTAGAAATAGGAATCTCTGCATTCAAATCATATACTCACTATAATAACAGTTAATATGATAATCTACCAATTATAAAGTTCTGAATGTTCTTTTAAGTAACTACAAATAATGCAATGTCCTATCCTTTTTTCCTCCTGACAGAACTCAAAAGATCTTTATATGCACTATTTTCTCAATTTGGTCATGTGGTGGATATTGTGGCTTTAAAAACAATGAAGATGAGAGGACAAGCCTTTATTATATTTAAAGAGCTTGGATCAGCCACCAATGCTCTGAGGCAGTTACAAGGTTTCCCATTTTATGGCAAACCAATGGTAAGTTGTTAAATATTTACCACATAACAAACAGTATAGGTATGTGGACAGTATCTTACAAAGTTCTGATTTTTCATTACATTCTTAAACTAACTTTATGAATTAACACACAATATGATAAGAAAGCCCTTTATTTACATCCTGCTAGATCTACTGTAGATGGAAAGAGATATTTTAATTTTCATTTCAGTGGTTAACACCAATGCTCAGAGTAGAATGTTTCTTAACTCCTACATATCCACTTATTTGGAGTAATGAAACCAACTTCTAAGCCGAACATATAGAAGTAGCTACATTTCAATTCATTTTCTTAAATAACATTTTGAATATAAAATATTTTATCAGTGATGCATTTTTGTATAATCAGAATTTTACAATAATTTATAATTCTACTAGCTTAGAATCCACATAGAGAACTTTCATTTTGGACTGATTAGAAACAAGTGGAACTGTATTTATGGTCTGATTATGGGGAGGGGTATCCATTCATGAATATCAGTTTCAATATAATTGTATAAGTAGAACCATTTATGTCATTTATTTGGTGAAATTACATAAATAATACAAATCATTGGAAATTTAGTCTGCTGTATTGAGGTCCACAAAATTAAGATTTCACTGTATGTTAAAAGCTGAATTTGAACAGTAGAAATCTGCAGGGAACAAACCGAAACATCAGCTGAACATATGAAAGAATTAAGTGAATTTCCTTTGATGAGTATTTATCCATGATTGAAAACTTTATTTTTTGTTAACATTTTTATTGGTTTGAGACTAGATAATGTAATAACATTATGACTTCGGAGAGAAATAGAATTTAGGTGAAAGGAGGCTTTTGGGAAACAGCCAATTTATTTCCTCTTACTGACATTCCTCAATTTTTTTTAAAAAAAGCTTTCTTCTAGGCATGGCACTGTATTTTGTTATTGGCATTACCACAAGAAAAACATTCTAAAATCCCATTTGAGCAATATATTTGCCATGTGGAAGTTGTTGAAAACAGTCCAACATGTGTTATTTTGTTGTACCAGCTTTAGGAATATTCATATGTCTGTATTCTACCTCTTTTACCCTGGACAGTCTGACAATAAATATATGTTCATCCTTATTTTAGACTAAATCATTTTAGACTAAATCATTTATAACTCAGTCCATAGTAAAATACCGTGAAGCAGCCGTGAAAAGCAGGCATCAATTATTGAAAGGTCACCCACAATTATAAGCATACTTTTTGTATCAACTATCTCAATTGCTTGTATTAGTCTGCTTTTTTTAAGTTATTTTCAGTTGTATCTTTTATCTCTGACATTTGGCTGTAATAACGATCCATTTTACTCATTCACTGTTGGAATAATGTTGCAATTTTTGATAGTAAATTGCCCAAAATACTTCAGTGCACGCAGGCCAGGTGCAAGGGATTCTATTCATCTCTAGATCTCAGTATAGGATATACTTTAAACTTTTCAGAGAGTTAAAGAGCAGGATATCTTGTGCACTTGAATTCATATTGATTTCTCTTAGATTGCTCTTGAGCTTACCGCAAAATATTCAGTTTTCATGAAATGTTGTTTTGTGAAAATAGCGTATTCAGTATGCAAAAACAGACTCTGAAGTAATTTCTAAAATGCGTGGTACATTTGCTGATAAAGAGAAAAGAAAAGAGAAAAAGAAGACCAAATCCTTGGAACAGGCTGCAAATGCTGCCAACAAGAAGCCAAACCAGGTAAGAAACATTTTTAGCATATCTCTCATTAGACATAAGTAATACAAATAAGTTATGAAGCTCTATATGTTCATTAGAACATTCTTGACATTTTGCTAGTTTTATGTGATTTGAATGAAAGGCATGTGTTTCTCTCGGAGTGCTTCCAGATGAATAATAGAACAGGCTATTTAAACTGTTGAGTTTTATTCCTTGTTTACTGCCTAAATCTATATACATGCAACCCTCAGGTTTTGACAGCAATTGGGATCAAAATTTCTGTCACAAAGCAATGTGGTAGTAAAGTAGAAGGTCACATAATTGCATTGTTTAGGAAGGGCAATCTTGGCATCCCAGTTGTGCCCATATGGATCATTAAGTGAGGATCTCACATGACTGCAATGTGGAAAGAGGCAGGAGTGCCAAGCAAGCTGGCCAGCAGATAAGAGCTAGGATGGAGAGCAGATGCCACGAGTGAATGCTAGGAATTGTAGGCAGGTGGGTGCCACTGCTGGGCCAGGGCTATGACTCCTCTGCACTGTGTGCCACTATCAACTGAGACAATCCTCTCAGCAGCAATGAGGTGAAATTTTCAAGGCCGTCCCTGTGTGTGGCCAAATGCCTGGTGGTGATTGCTGGCAGATACTTGGTTGAGGGCTTTATGTGCCAGAGGGGGAGGCAGGGGGACCTGCCCAGCATGACCAACATAGCACCTGTTTAGTAGGGCTCAGGCAAAAAGCTGAAAGAAGGCAGTTGAAGAAGACACCAAATAGCAGTTGGACACAGCAAAAGAGAAGATCTCCAAATGCCTGAATGCTGATCACATGACTGTGGGGACACTACCATAGCCAAGGACCAGCCTTCAAGGACTAATCATAAATCCATTTTTATAATGCTGCTGTAACTTTGAATGGTTGTTAAACAAATGGATGTAACACAAAGACTACTTATTAAAACATCCCCCACAGGTAACTCATCTAATCTCCTTTAAAATACATCCCTAATACTATTAAAAATACTGATCAGTTGCCTTTTTTAATTTTATAGAAAAGACAGAAAACAGTAGGAAAAATACAAAACAACCTTCCAAACAGACAATTACTCTTCTGTCTTCTTATAGCTCAGTAAAAATCTGTGAAAACTTATAAACACTGCATGAAAGCAGTAAAATTCCCTAGTAAATTCCTGTTCCCATAAACTTACCATATTTTTCAGTGTATAAGACACACTCAAAAGTAGGTGGAAATGTCTGCGTCTTACACAATGAATGTTGCTGAACCTCGCCCACCTGCCAGCCCCCACCCTTCATCCTCTGCCTCCCAGCAATTTGCCTCCTTGCAGCAAATAGCAAACAGTCTGGTCAGCTTCAGCACAGCCTGATTTAGCACAAGCAGCTGATTGTCGGTTGGATCAGCCTCCCAACAATGAGCTGTTTCTGGCTGCAGGGATTGCCATTGCCTATTGCCGCCTCCACATGCCCCATTTTTGGCCTCTGTGCACCTCATTTTCGGCCCATTCCAATCCCCGCCACCTGTACTGTGCTGAAGCTGACCAGACTGTTGCTGAAGGAGGCAAATTGCTTGGAAGCAGAGGCAGATTCCCCCCACCCACCCAAAAGCTAGGTGCGTCTTATACTTTGGAGCGTCTTATAGTCTGAAAAATACAGTACTTCATGCTTTGTAAAATTGCTATGGCAGAAAAGATCCCTAGATGTAGTCTCTAAATGTTTTAAGACTGTAGGATTTTTGTCAATTCTTAAAATTACATTTCAGTGTTTTCCCCTTAAATCACACTATCTCCTAACTATTCTGGCCTTCTTAAAAATCTTTTTTTTTTAAATTGAGTCAGCTGTTCTGTATCTGTGTCTAAAGTTTATTCTTGTAATACAATTGTGTGATTAAAAAGAATAAAGTTTTTAAACACTATTTTTATTTTGTAATAGGGAGCAAATCAAAATTCAGCAAATGCTCAAGGAAATGCTTCACAGAATCAACAGGTAAACCTTACTGCCTTAGTACAACTAAACAATCCCATCACTATATTTGACTTTTTTGAATAACGTGTAAATAAGCAGATGTATTTCTTGTGAATAAAATTGTAACCAATTGTTTGCTTCAGACTTTAATTTTGCAGTAAGGACAGGCAAAAGCAGAATCTTTATATTCAGATTTATTGTTTTAATAATTTTTTAAAAATAATGAAACCTAACCTGCTGCAAGATTCAAAAATATTTGTTATCTCCCAAGATTGAATCTAGTCTTTATATAGCCCTGCAGGCATTCATAAAAAGTAAAAAATACTGATTTCTATCTTATGTGGTATTGGAATGATATTTGTTTCCTCAGAAAAGATGATAGTAGGTGAAAGAGAACAATCGTCTATCAGTTCATCTTCTGATAAATATCATTTTGGTAACAGGCTAGGGCAGTGATGGCGAACCTTTTCCAGATGGAATACCCAAAGCGTGAGCCACCCCTGTGCATGCGCACCATCCCTCCCACCATGCATACACATGTGGGGGAGGGCGCACATGCCCCACCTCCCCATGCGTGTGCAGCAGAGGTGGGAGGTGCCCAGGCATGCGCAGTGGAACTGAACTAGGGTGATGGCTCGCGTGCTCACAGAGAAGGCGCTGCATGCCACCTGTGGAACGTGTGCCATAGGTTCGCCATCACAGGACTAGGGTCACAGCTGAAGGTATTTTCTGTGGCTAACTACGAATACATTCTCAGAATTCCAAATGTCTCCAGTGACTCCCAGATCCAGGCTTTTCACTAAATTCAGTAAAAGAAATTCAGTTAAGTCAGTGAAACTTTACAGACTCTTTAATAAAAAGGTAATTTTCCAGATTATTTTAGGCTTACTTACTTAACATTGAAACTTATGAAATATAGAAACGGCTTATATTTTTCCCAGTTCTGTCCTTTATTGTTTCACTTTGTTTACCACTTCTATTACTACAGGTGCCTGATAATCCACCAAACCATATACTTTTCCTCAACAACCTACCAGAAGAGACAAATGAAATGATGTTATCAATGCTATTTAATCAGTAAGTGCATATGTTTCTCCTTCAAAGATGTTGGATGCAATACTGATATGTAATTACTTCAAAATATAGCTCACTGACATCGATTTAGTACATTACATGGGATTGGTTGTCAACAATTTTACATAGGCTAAAGCTATGAATACACAGGACTGAGATCATGTAGTTTTTATTGTCCTTTTCTTATTTGTACCGGTAGTAGTTTCCTAGAAATGTTCAGGAATGATGTATGGACAATGCAAGAAGCTGGGCTTCCTGGTTTAAGCTGAAAGGTTTATGAGTATTACACTGATTGCACATGATTTTTACGGCTGTATGACTGAAAAGTAAATGCTTAAATTCAGTGCATGCTTAAATTCAGACAAAGGATATGTACCTTGTAGGCATCTTGACTTCAGCCTACCCCAGTTTTGTTTTGGATGTTAGCTTCTGAAATTATTTGCCAGCATGGTTAAAAATGAAGTGTCATGCTCCTAAGAACACCAGCATAGGGAAGGCAACACTACTTCCTTTCAAACTGTCACTCATAATTATTTGAAGACTGGAAATTCACTGCATTGTGAGTCCTGATTTAAAGATAGGCCTCTCAGCTTTTGCTCAAACTGAATGAATCCATATTTTTGGCACTAATGTTCAACAATGTGCTAATAGAGGTTACTGTCTTACTTTTACAGATGTGTTTTAATTCATTTGTCCTTTTGGTTCAAAGTGTCGATTTTGTTTGAAAAGGACTTTGACTCAAAACATTGAAACATTTAGACTGTTTTAAACGGTCTGCTGAATCCAATTTTTGAATTGGTTTGGAATCTGAATATGCCACAGCAGTTGGGAGTCAGGCAGTACACAAGCTTAATAATACATAATAACTGAGTTGACTTGGCAAGCAATTCAGTTCAGATATTCCATCAAATTACAATTCAGTTGCAATTCTCTCATAGCCATATTAATTCTACCCATTTTCTTTATTTTTTTCAACTGCCTCCTCCCTCTGATTGTTGCCAATTCCATTTCATGTAATTGAAGATGACTTTTTAAAATGATTATTTAATGACAAATTATAGAATATAGAAGTGTTTGATGAGTATTGTATGTAGGACAGATTGCAGATTTGCTGAATAAATTTTTTTCAAAACTGTATATAGTATTACTGTTCACTAATTAATTATGAACTTTATCATTACAAACTTTTCTGAATTTGAACTTTCTGTATGTCAATTACATCATTTTCATTGGGTGGAAAATGTATTACTGCTTTTCCTTTTCTGGCTTGCCCAGATCAGTAGTATTCAATTATTGTTTAAGAATGAACTTCAGTTTTAAGCTATCATTTGTTAACAAAGTAAGTCTAGCTCCATGACTGGCAATGATATAAACTTATATAATATAAATATTTTTTGTTTAGGTTCCCTGGTTTTAAAGAAGTGCGCCTAGTTCCTGGCAGACATGACATTTCATTTGTGGAATTTGAAAATGAAGGACAGGCTGGAGCTGCTCGGGATGCCCTCCAAGGATTTAAAATTACCCCGTCACATGCAATGAAAATTACGTATGCCAAAAAGTGATGGCAATGAACTCAGATTTTTGAAAAAACTTGTTAATGTGCTTTTTTTCATGTGCCATGGGTTTTTTTTAGGGCAGGGGTGAGTAAGTTAAAGGATGGTTCCTTAATTTTAAGGAAACTATGTTATATAAAACTCTTGGAATTTCATCTAGTCGGCATGTTTGCATTTCTAAACATGTTCAAGGAATGCTAACGTTTCTGCTGACCACTGTTAGTTTTTGTTGATGTACATAAATTGGTTTAAGATACTGTGATATTCAGATCCTTAAAAGTTGCTTAATAAGAAATAAAACTTGTTTCTTAAGAGTTCATCTGTGATTGCTGTTTCATGTCAAAATTATTAAATTTAGCTAATTACCAGTCCAGAAATTGAAAATTCTAATCTGAAGTTGTTTACATTTCATCAGTTATGATTAGCATCTCCAAAGGTCCAAGTTCCAACATAGAAGTTTATAAGGAATGAGTTTTGCCCTAATAATACTTTCCTGCAAGGGAATTGGGGGCAGCGGGGGGCGGGGGGAGGAGAGCCATGTTCACCCTAGCAATAACTGCTGGGGAAGTAAAGGAATGAAGAAAGTGGGTGGCCTCATTTCCTTTTGTATTGATCTCTGTTTCCTGCCGACTTCATCTCTATTTATTGCTAGAATATGGCCTATGGAAATATCGCTCCTAAGCAAATGCTGCCTTTGATGAGAAAAAGTTTTCTACCCACTCCTGCCTCCAAATTTTCATTAGGAGTTAATAAGGCACAGTGGGATTGTACTTGTTCGTCACATTGACATCTATACATATGGATGGGCGTACGTTTGTAGAATTGAAAAAAAAAGTGCCTTGTATCTAAAGTTGTTCTAAAAAGTTTTTCTTTAGAGCCTACTGTAATTGATGGGATGACTTAATGCCAAATATGAAAATAAATGTAACCAGTGATGCTTAACATTGTCTAGTAATAGATAATATCTTAAATCTGGTGATGTAGTTATGTAAATATATTCATAAATGTAGAGATGGATATGAAAGACACTGTCTTCCATGTAATTTGCAAATTTCCAGGTTTCATCTAAAACATGCACTTGGTAAGGTACAGTACACTATTGTACACAATGTTCCTATACTAAGAATATTGTGTGAAGGCTTATCCAGAATCTTTTCACAATTGAAAGTAATATGCCAATAATATTGCATGCTGGGACATCTCTTTTATTTCTGAAATGGCAATCCTGCAAGATACTGTTATGAGTTATTAGCCCTAAATCACTCAACCTGGGGGGGACTGCAGTCTTGGTTTAATAACTGTTACACTATACAGGGTCTTGCTGCAATGTAATTGTAAATTTAGCCTTAGTTATGTTCTAATGCCTTATGCCAATATTTTATTTACATATTAGTAGCATGTTCATCCTGACACCAGCTTTTTAATTTAGAAGGAACGTAGGTGCACCTAGGCAACTGACTAAGCCCTAAAGGTAATACCAATTTTGTGGGAGAGTAGAGCTGCTCTCCTGCCTATGTCCTATGTCTAGAAATAGCTCCTAATATCCCTAGAATTATGCTTGAATTTGGCCAATCCCATATATTGTTGAGGTTAAAATGGGATGGCTGTATCCCTATGAAGATGATACGGTATATTTAGTAACAATTCATGCCATAGATCAAAGTCAAGTATTTTTATGACTCTTAAGCACTGATTTATGAGATATACTAAGAATAGACAACAAGGGATAATGGAGAACAACATATAGTTAAGACAACAAAATACAGTATAGAATTAGCACATGTAAATGCCTGTTGCATAAGTTATACTTTCAGATTTTGTTAAAATGAGTTCCAGACAAATTCATGTTAATTCTTAAATGGATTAATCCCCAATGAATATGTTTATAACTTTTACCAAATAAGATTTTAAACAAATATGTAAGTTGTAACCAAGGAAACAATTTTGTAGAAGCTTAACCAAAGAAAACTTAATGCAACAATTTATAGTCTTGGTTAAATATAGTCTTGGTTAAAAACTTCTCTGTTTAGCAACTGTTTGAACTTAAACGATGGTGTTGTAACGTAATTTATGACTGGTCCTTGAACTTAACAACTGTTCTCACATTCATACTATTGCCATTTGGGCACTTCGCACCCAGCATATATTTACAGCTGCAGCATCCTGCAGTCACATGATCACTACTTGTGAGATTCACAACCAGCTTCCAAAAAGTAAAATTAATGGAGAAGCCAGCAGGAAGTCACAAGTCACAGTCCCATGATGATGCGCTTAATGACTGGGTGATTTGCTTAACAATCATAGTGGATCTGACATAATTCTGGCACTGATAGGTGATGTTTCATTTAACTGTGTTGCTTAGCAACAGAGTTGCCAGTCTCAATTGCAACCTATATTGTCCCTGATAAGAACCTTTTATGTTTTGCTCAGAAGTGACCCTGCACATTTTTCCTTTCTAATAATCCTTTGCAATAATTGTTGAGTACTTTCCCCCCATATCTTCCTCCCTAGAAAAGAGGTAAAATTTACAGGCAATCAGTCTATAGGAGGCTCGAGATGCTTTTCCTGAAATAAAAGCTATTCTCCCTACTAGTGGAATGGAGTGTTCAAATATTCCTTCCTCCATTCAGCCTCCTCTGATATATTCTGTAGGGTCTTCTAATCCATGTCTGGCCAATCATATGAGACTAGTGGCCCTACTTACTGTACTTTTGAGAGCATATTAAGTTTTCAGTCACAAACTGTTAATCATAAGGAAGAGATGATGCATAAAATAACAGCAAAAGCTGCCATGCTGTTTACTTTCTCTACTTTTTCTGCTCCGTTAGGTGTCAAGGAAGCTTTTTCTGAACATAGAATTAGTAAGGAATAGCCTCACTCTGTTGATTAGATCTTTCAATTCCAGCCAATCCATTCTAACATTGTACCAAATAGTTAATACAACCAGGCATGCTTAGGAAATAAGATGGTCTCCAAGTCCAAGCCAATGCAAGCATAGCACTTCTCTGCTATTTTTAAGGGATCCTGGCTCTTTCAGGCTCCTGCGTGAGAAGCTCCTGCCAGGATTTTTGTTTTTGTGTTAAGATCACATAGAAGCCTGGATTAAAAAATAATAATATTAGGCTTATATGCAACAGAGAGGTGCTGTACTCACGTAAGTTGGAAACAATCCTTCCAAATGATTTATTTTCTATCATTTCAATGGCTAAAGCTGCTCACATCAATGACTCGGGGTGACTTAATAAAGAGTAAGCATGCATGTTGTTAGTTGCGAAGTCATGTCCAACCCTTCGCGACACCATGGACAACGTTCCTTCAGGCCTTCCTGTCTTCTACCATCCTCCGGAGTTCATTTAAGCTCACGCCTACTGCTTCAGTGATTCTATCCAGCCACCTCATTTTTTGCTATCCTCTTCTTCTTTTGCCCTCAATTGTTCCCAGCATTAGGCTCTTCTCCAGTGAGTCCTTCCTTCTCATTAGGTGGCCAAAGTATTTGAGTTTCATCTTCATCTTTCATCTTTCATCTGGCCTTCTAAAGAGCAGGCAGGGTTGATCTCTAGGACTGAGTGCACGTACCATCTAGTTAATCCTGGTTATGAAGATGCTGTATATCAGGGGTCCCCAACCACCGGTCCCCGGACCGGTACCGGGCTGTGGATCATTTTTTACCGGGCCGCATAGCTTGGGCACCGCCATCTTGTTTCGACGGCGCTTCCGAGTTTTCGGTTGCTTCCGGGTTTTCGGTTGGAAAGTGCTTCTGGGTTTTCAGTTGGAAAGCAGCGTTTGGCTGCTCGCGCCTTAGTTTCGTCGAAGAGGGGGGGGCGGCTTCGAACGAAGAGCCGTCCCGATGGCGGTGGAGTCTCGCGTTACTCAGGTACCGGTCCATGGAAGAATAAATAATCGTGAAACCGGTCCCTGGTTCAAAAAAGGTTGGGGTCCACTGCTGTATATTATCAGCTGCTGATGCTGATTCTTAAAATAATAATTGGAGGTACCATTTTACTCAAGAGGAGGCTGAAAGAAAGTGTGTCTGAATAATGTAAGAAATGTAAGTAATGTAATTTAATGTAAGGAATATAATGTGAGAAATGTAAGTTGATGTAAGTAACTGGTTTGCTTTGCATCCTACTTGGATATGGTCTGTTCTGAGAAATTCTTCCTTTGTGTGGAAGAACAGGTTGTCCCCTTGAGTTAAAGGGTTTGCTTTAACTGGCACAGCTTTGTCATTATGTCATCCTTCTTTTGTCTAGATTTAGCAAAGGATTGATGATGTCTCGGCTGCTGAAACAAACCTGCAGTGTGGATTGATTAATAATATCTCCTTGTGCAGAATTGTGCTTGGTGGAATATTGGAAAGTTCGGTTAAGAGTCTTGTCTAGCAAAAAGAAATCTTTGCAGGGCTCCTGGAACCATGCAGTTCTTCAAAGAGGATGAAATGTTGATTTCCAAACATTGTATTTGCCCCGCTCTCCCTGCCCTGGCACAGATACATTAATGTTCAGATGAAAAAGAAGTTCCATGACCTCCCTTTTATTTCTGCAAGGGAGATTGGGCTGCTTGCAAAAGAGAGAAGAGAAAATGTCACCTGCGGTTCCTTTGCTGATCTTGCTACTGTGCCTTGGATGTGCTTTCACAATTCTAAAGAGCAATTCTTTCTGTGCAATCTGGCTAGCAAAAAGCTGGGTGCGGATGAGGAGCTCTAATACAAAGGAGTGCCTTGCCTGTGATCTCTAGCTCTTTGTTCCTTGGTTGCTGAAAATAGGGCAGCGGCTGAAAAATGGTTATGTTTGCAGATGTACTTTGATGCTCCAATCCTGCCCCCAATTTTTCTTACTTTTGAATTAGTCTTCTTTGCTTATGGCTTCCCACACAGCATTAATACTATATTCCTTGGCAAGAATAAAAGTTCACCATAGTGCACCAGATTAGACATTTGCTAATACTGAAAATATTTAAAAATTAAATGTTTACTTAAAACTGATGAAAGAAGGAGGATCTCTATCTATCTGATCTCTACCTACATACCTACCTACCTACCAGTTATCTATCTATCTATCTATCTATCTATCTATCTATCTATCTATCTATCTATCTATCATCTCTCTCTTTCTCTCATCTATCTATCATCTATCTATCTATCTATCATCTATCTATCTACCTACCTACCCGCCTACCTACCTACCTACCTACCGGTATCTCTCTCTCTCTCTCATCTCTCTCTCTCTCTTTCTCTCTCTCTTTCTCTCTCTCATCTATCTCTTATCTATCTATCTATCTATCTATCTATCTATCTATCTATCTATCTATCTACCTACCTAC